GTTCTAGTTGAAGGACTCAGCAAAGAGAGGCATCTTGCTATGCATTGATATGCTGCTGTGTCAATGGCATTGATCATTGTGCCATTGTCCACAATGGCCAGGAATCATATTTTCTCTCCTTGAGGTTCCTGCAGATGGGGTACTGTCAAAATGGGTTGCTTGTTTGAGAGGTTGTTGGTTTGCCTGAGGCATCCAACCAATAGACATCAGTAATAGTATTGTCTGGCATAAATAAAGGTGCAATTGAGTTAGTGTGCAATAATGATTTAAGGGACAGCAACTCTATGCTTGCCAGTGAAAAAGAAGAGGAAGAAGGAATGGTATCTACAGTGCTTTGTGCTCAAGGCATTTCTTGAAGCATGTGATGAAATGTGAGACTGTTCATTTGGTTAGAGAGTGAAGTAGAAAGTGGACTTGGTACTATGGGAACTACTGCTGGTCCAGCATCAGCAGTGGTTCCATATAGTTTTCCAGCATCCAATCATATCCTGGTTCTTACACAACCTAATTATCTTGCCCATTCCATCCTCCTGGCTCCTCCTGTGGTGCTACCATATATACTGGCATCATTCCTGTTGTTCCATATGTGCTGTGTTGAGGGTATATGGCAGTTGTGATGTGCTGGACTGGAGTAGGTGTGTAGTTGGGCTGATTCATTGGTGATGTTGTCCTTCTGATTAGTCCTGCAACTTGCTGTCGCCAACGTGATTCTTGTGACCTCAATGGTTCTTAAGTGATGCATTGCATATTGACATGCATTGGTTCTGTGACCATTCCACAATTGTAGCACTCTCCTGACCCAAGGACTGCTGTTCCTGGATGCAGGGGGTAAGACTTTTCTAGGGTTGTAAATCCTTCTATACTGTGCATGTGGTGCCATAGCTCAATGTCTGCCTTGTATTGCTGTATCCCTGCTTCTGTATTGACTCATTGGGGCATTATTGCCAACTTCTCTAGGACTTGCACTCTAGTTAGTTGCACATGCATGAAGGGCATTCCTCTCACATCAAATCCTCCTCATGTCAATATTGCAGGGTTGTTTGTGGTAGGGACCAGTAGAGCTGAATAGGAGGGTGGGTATATGGTTCCCATGGTGTTTGTTGTTGTTGAGTTGGGTGGTATGGGTGTTCATGTTGCTACTCAATAAGTCAGTGTGCTAAGCCATTGAGTGCTTTGGGCTTTGAGCCTTGCAATATCTGCATCCCTTGTGTGCTCCTTATCTAGCTCTTTATGGCCTCTCTTGAGTTTAACACTTGGTACACTCTGTACATCATTTGTGAATTCATCCCAATCCTCATACTTGCACTTGAGGTGGTCCTTCAATGGGTTCAGTATACCTTCAACCATGTATTCAATCAGATGCCCAGCTGTATCTCCCACCCCTAAGGCTAGCCATGACACTTTGCTTGCTTAAGTGACATGTCCATAGTTGCCTTCCGTCCACAAGCCAATCTCACTCTCCTCCAACAATTCTGCCATAACCCACTCTTTCTGCTGTGCTCATGTGTACCCAGGCTGTCTGGGAGGTGGCCAACACTTCTGAAATGCAGCCTTAAGACTAGAGAATAAGGTGAGCTTGCTGGGTGATAGGCCTTGGAACCATTCTTCTGCTATATTGCCCAGTGCAAGCTGCATTTCAAGTTGTTTAATTCATTGTGGTTTGTCCCATGATGCTGGCATCAACAATTCAAACTGAGCAAACCATTCCATTGGCTCTTCCTTATTTGCATAGTCTCTGCGAAAGAGTGGCACTGTACATGGGTTTTCACTAGACATAGGTATATGTGGTGAGCTTGACTGTTTTCTGATGGGTAGTGTTGCTATGTTGATAGCTGGCATTGGTGTAGGTTGGGTTTGGGTCAGGGAGGTTGCTGTTGTTGGGGACAATGATGTGCTCTCATCTCGGTTCGGAGTGAAATGCACTGGTTGAAGCAGGAAGGTGGGGCTTCCAGTTTCTTCCTTCACTGGTGAATCTAATAGTTCTTGGTACTCCTTCAAATGACAGGGTAGTGAGATGATACAACATCGTGGGGTAATCAGTGTTTGGTTATCTGAATGTGTTAGAAATAATATGGAATGAGTAGGGGATAGACTTAGGTTCCTGCTGTTTCCTATAGGTGTGAGCCTGCAAATTCTTGCACAAGTCTCTATGTTGATGTTAAGAACCATGCTCAAAGGAGAGAGAGACTGACTCAGAGGGGCTTGGCCTCAGCTTGTATGCTGTGCCCCTTACCTGAGTATGTGCCCTTCATTTCAGAGGAAGTCCAATGATGGTCCAATGAAGTCCAGAGGACTTCTGGAGGAGTGCGGGAAACATCCAGAGGAGCGCAGGAGAGTTCCGGAGGGATGCAGGAAATGCTCAGGAGAGTTCCCGCTGCAAGGTAATACTTCTACAGGAAAACAGGATGGAAGGATAGGAGGTCCAGAGGACAGGATGTCCGGAGGTCTGGAGTATGGAGGACAGGAGGTCCAGAGGTATGGAGGATGGAACATCCGAAGGTATGGGGGGCGGAATGTCCAAAGGACAGGATGCCTGGAGGTATGAGGGACAGGAGGTCCGGAGGTACAGAAGACAGGAGGTCCGGAGGTCCGGAAGGAATAGGGGCTACATCAGACGAAGTCTGATGCAGAAGCAAACAGAGGTAGACTACCCTAAGGTAGAGTCAGAGGGACAGGAAGTGGACCTAAGTCTGGAAAGAGGGTAAGTGCTGGAAAGGCAAGACTCCAGCCTAGGGAAGCAATCCCTAGACTTGGGACAGAGACATAGGGGACAAATCCAGAGGTCCGGAATTCCAGCCTAGGGAATCCTTCCCTAGGCCTTATGGAAAAGGACAAACTCAGATGGACTGAAGTCCAGAAGATGATTGGGCAGATCTAAGGTGATAGAGTAGGAACTAAGATGATATTCAAACTGAGGACTCTACTGTAGTTGTACAGGGGTTATATACTAGAGGCTATCTGAGAGGATCAGTAAGCAAAGGAGTAAGGCTATGTACGAGCATGCGGAAACACATTGGTAAGTAAGACAGAACATAAGTAAATGAACTCAGAGATGAAACTAGTACAAGGATCAATCAGCAAGACGGAAACAGAGATAACCAAGAACCGGAAACGCGGAGATGCCTAAATGGGGATAGGCGCAGGATTTTGGACGGAGGGTGGGAATAGGTCCAGAGATAGTACAGTTAATATCCGGAGGTCTGGAGATCTGGGGATCTGGAAGGCAGGATGGAAACAGGACTGAGATATGTGAGGTGGTGGATGTAGTCCAGAATCCAAGAGGAGGTAAAGTCCAGATGTCTTGCTGGACGGAATGTGCGTAGGGTGGACAGGATAGGGGATCCAGGAATGAGTTGGATATGGGGTCCGGAAACAGGTCCGGAAAGCGTGGGAATATGATGGGATCTATGTCTGGCATATGGGATATGACAGTTGATTCATCCTAAGCTTAAGCTGCATCCAATGATTTTATGACATTATGTTCTAGATCAGCCCCCCCAGATAATAATGGGTAGCAGCAATACAGCTGCTTTGCATACCCCTAGCATTGTTCAATAAAACTGAGCTCACAATGAAATTTTGGAAGGAAGAGCACCTTGAAGCCCCTTAACCTGCACTTGTTACGGCAAACTAGGATGGGTGCGATGACAGGTACTCGATAAGAGCAACGCCTGAAGCTGGATCGTGTCCTTACAAATGTAAGGTTCTTTTAAGACAAGTCAGAGAGAGTGTCTCCGGCTTGAATATCGATATCAGACACTTAGGATTGGGGGTCCTAAGCGAAGGATGTTTCTGGGTAAGACCTAGTAGATTAAAGTGAAGTCCTAGCTAAGTACAAGACCGGGTTTATATAGACGTAAGAGGTTTAGGGCCAGTATAGTATGCGTCATCAAGACAAGTCAGAGATAAGGGATGGCATCATCAAGACAAGTCAGAGATAAGAGATGGCATCATCTAGCAATGGCACATGGCGGTTGTGATGTAATACAGCTGCGGATGGTTGGTCTAATGATGGCATGATAAGGTGCGGTCATGACGTAATACATGAGCGAGAAAAGAGAAAAGAGATAGGGGTAACCGTGATCGTAACAGCACTCTCTCTCCAAGTTCAACTCAACATTAACAAAATCTGGCTGGTGATAGAGAATTTGGCAACAACAAGAAGTGGAACCACATGGACAGTTGAAATCCTTGCACCAAGCCTTTTGTTTGCTGACATTGAAACCATGCTCCTCTAGAATTTTGGCTATTCCCTTGAATAACCCAGCATTTATGTGACCCTTAGGAAAATAGAACTCCTAAGGGGCACCATTGAAGACACCATTAGCAATACAAACTGTTTGCATCAAAATCTTCCTATCTCCACCACACTGGGTTTGTTTCCCTGTGGCATCCCTCACTGGAGCACTGACCCCCCAGTTCTTGCAAGTCTTGGGCATGTTCTGAGCACTTAATGCATCATCAGCCCTTTTAAGGTGTGTTGTTGCATTGTCAAACACAAAAATGTGGTCATCTTCTGGGTAATCTTTCTCCAGGATTGTTATTGCTTTCTCAGTATGTTGAAGAATTTTGTCATTGGTGAAGTACCCATCCCTCCCCTTTCCTGCCCTAAAGAGCACATGGGCAGATTGATTCCCATCATGAGACCACAATCAGCCATAATCTGCTGAAATGAAATCTGCAACCATAAGAGAAGATCCCTCACCCTTTGGTTGTGGAGTTGCCTTTTCATCTTTGTGGACCTAGCATTTTTTGCACCAATCATTGGTATAAAAGGTGGATTCATTGTGGAACCATACAACAGTGTACCACCCAGTCTCCTTATCATCCTCCAGCTGCATAGCATTAACAAAAGACTATTTTCAAGTCTTTGGTTCCAATGCATACCACACTGGCATGAATTTATTCTGTTGATATTTGACTGCATCCTCTCATTCATGGCCATTGACATATTGTCCATTTTTGGCCATAGTCCATCAAAATTCACAGTTTTCCATCCATCATTGTGTGGTTGCCAATGAAATATTTTTGGTAAGCTTGAAATGTTGCTGTACATCAGGCTGTGCAAGATAATCAATAATTGCTGTTGCAGAAATATATTTTCTGAGTGACTGGAGATGAACCAGTAACTCCTCCTTAAGATCTTCATCATCAATCCATGATCTTGTCCACTCACCACCATACTTTGCCAATGGCAAGTTTTCATGATCCAGGATATATGACTTCAACCATTCCTTCACCTTTCATGACATATAAGCCCCCTTTCCAATGAATTTTGCAGTCTGGAGGCAAGGTCAGGTGGTTTGTATCTATGTCCCTTGAAGTTCTGGTGCAGGTAAAGTAAGTTCCTCAGGTCCACCAATGCCAGTGTGGCTGAACCAACTGTGGGTGGCATTTGGAAATCACCTGAATGCCACTGTGATGCTGTGGGACAGGTATTGTGATGGCACAATGGTGTGCCCTCATCAACCACATCTTCAACAATGTTCTCATGATGGTTGCATGAAGCCTGGGTAGTTTGTGGTGAGGGATGTGCCATTGTGGTGTCTAAGTCTATTAACAAATTGTCATCAGGCAATCCCATAATTGTGGCTGCATGCTCATTGAGATCCTCAAAGCCTTCAATTGGTCCTAAGTCACAGTTACCAGCACTCTCATGGTCTTGGCAATTCAAATCCAAGTCAGACTCACACTCTGATTCTATGTCACTACTCTCCAAACCCATATCCACTGAGTCCTGCAATGCAAGTGAGGATTCCTCAAACAAATTTACATTTACTTGAAGGTGGGTACTGTGCTCCATGTCCATAGTAGCTGTGTGATTGTGCTCTAAGTCCATGGCAGTAGCATGGCTATACTCTGAGTCCATAGTGGTAGCATGGTTGCACTCCAAGTCCATAGCAGCACTATTGTTCTCAAGTTGCACAAAAATCTGACCCAAGGCTGACAGAACACTCTCAACTGGGAGCTTGTTACAATCAATGTATGCCCCTATTCTTTTATTTCTCTTATCTCACATTGTATTACATCACAATCACTACTTGTCATTGTTAGATGGTCTTATCCTGTTATCTTCTTACTTACTGCTTTTGGTCTTAACCAATTCTGTCACATTCATCCTTATTAGGCATTCACTCATATCTTTACTTACTCATGCCTGCCCTAAACTCTCCTAGCTATACCCTATAAATAGGTGACTCTATACAATGTAATACTTCACTTGAATCTTACTAGGTTTTACCTGATCTTTCACTAAGGATCTCCAATCCTTAGTTGTCTGAACTGATATTCTAACAACAAGCACTCCTTGTTGTTAGTCTTAGACCTTCTCTCTTTTGAGAATGAGAACTCAGTCTCTGAATATTCTCTTTTGAACTTTGACTGTTTCAAATCACCCTAGTTTGTAACAGAGTTTAGACTTTGAAGGTAGAGAACTGAATGAAAAAGTGGTTTCACAGCCTGAAGCTACTGTTGAATCATCATCATCATCACTCTCAATACATTTCCTTTTATACTTTACTGCATACACTCACATATATAATATGCATTGTCTTGTTCCTCATACCTCAGTTGTTGTCTCCCAACACTGAGGTATGTTCTTTAGTCTCTCATCATCTCTCACCATCTCTGACTGTGTTCTCTTTAGCATGTTCTGTGTCTTAGGTACTTATAATATTAGTTGTTGTCTTCCAACACTGAGCATGTTCTGTGTGTTAGCTTCTAACAGGTTATGAGCCACAATTTCTAATGAAATCATTTGAGCTACAAACCAACATGCACATTTGTTTCATTAGCAACTCACTATCATCTGTCTTCATCTTCCTTCAACATGGGGAAGCTGAATCATATCCCAGAGCTCACAGGCCTGGACACTTACTTCACATGGAAACACAAGGTCACTTACACTCTGTGAATTGAGGACCAATGGTGTCATATAACAGAGACTGTGGATCTGGACGACATCTTAGGCAGCACCTTATTCAAACCCATTGCTGTTGATCCATTAAATCCCACAGTGGCTGAGACTATAGCTATTTGCCAATGGTTCATTAACAACCTCAAAGCTAAAGCCATCATCACCCACCAGCTGTCTGTCACTGTCCAATAGCTCATCTCCACCAGCCATAAAGTCACAGCTTGTGACATGTGGAAAATCCTTGAAGACCACTTTGGTCATATTGACATGGGTTCTCAGCATGTAGTCAGGCAAAGCTTGTATTCCCTACAAATGAAAGATGCTGCTGACATGTCAAATTATATCAGTCAGCATGCAGTGCTCTGTGAAAGACTCCTTTGCATGGGAGTGATCTACACAGATGCAGAAGTTGTGTTTCAGCTTCTCTGGGGACTCCCTTGCTCAGGTTCTTGGCCGCAATTCAAGGTGCTTCTCATCATCACCCTACCAACCGCTACACCTATTGCACCCACACCAGCTGCTGGAAATGTGCCTGTGGCAGTCATTCCCTCTGCCTTTGACACATGTGTTGCACACATCTCAGCCAAGGCAGCACAGATGATTGATAAACAAATACTGAGTGGAGGTGAGTGACCTGGTTCTGAATATGTGAACACAGCAACATCTTTTTCATCCTCAACTGGCAACATCAACTCCATTACCAGTCTGCACAAGCACCATCATAATCCAGACAGCATTTTCTGCACAATGGTCAGGTGCAATAAGGGTGATCATGACCATGCTCACTGCTATGCTAAGGGAGGTGGGATGGAGGAACAAGCTCCCTGGATGAAAGGCAAGAAGAAAGAGAAGGAAAAGGAGACAACTGCTGCTGCAGTTATGACTCCTCCTGCTCCTACTTCAACTACCCTACTTCCAGTCATCACTGTCATATCCACATATCAGGCTCTCAGATCCAATCCTTATCTCATCTCAGATCTGATCCACATCTTATCTCCCTCCAACATCTCATCATCCAATCTGTCCACTTGTCTGGTCTGGTCCACAATTCATCCAAATCCACAACCAGCGCTCATCTCCTTTTGGTAATCCCCTAACTCCGGTATTTCAGCTATCTGTATATCTGTCCTGCTCCCTGATCTGTTACCTATGTTTCATTTCCGTTTCATGATTTGTGATCCATTTCTACTTACCAATAGACTATCCATTTGCTTCATACATAGCCTCAGACTCTGCTGATTGATCATTCCGTTAGATACCTATAGTATATAACCTCCTGTAACTCTCTGTAGCACCTCAGTTTGAATATCATCTTAGTTCTACTCATTCTTGTCCTCTGGACTTGAGTATCTCTACTCTTGTCACTCTCCGAGACTTAGGATTGATTCCCATAGTCTATCTGCATCTGCCTCTGTCTATGACAGCCACTACTGCTAGTTTCTAGTCTGGACTCATCCAGATTAGCCCTACAATACTTATCCTGCATCCAGAAGTCGTCTGGATCCACTACACTACCTGTCTGACCCTCTGGATGCATTAGCCTTGCCTTCCTGAAATAAGGGGCAATACTCAAGTAAGGGGCACAGTGCACAAGCTGAGGCTGAAGCCCTTCGGATCCAGTTATCCCTTGAGTATGACCTTAACAATCACTGTATTTGCAAGTACTGAAGTAGCAGCTGATTCATATTTTGCAGACCTCTCATGTGCCTCCATCACTGAAATAGTGGATGACAGACCCAGCACACCCCCAAATCCAGACACTGCAGTACTCTCTTGCCTCATTGCAGCAGGTTTTAACACCATTCTGGACTCAGGCACTACCATGACACTCATATATGACTGCTCATACTTCTGGTCATACTCCACTGCAGATGCTGTCACAGTCCATACAGCAAACTATGGGAGCCTGTCCACTTCTGGTCATGGAGACTGCATTGCCATCCTGTCCATTGGAGGTGCAAGACATCAAGTATGTCTCTCAAACTGCCTACATGTGCCATTGGTAATGATGAACCTACTATCTGTGGGGTGGATGCTGAGTAAAGGTTGGGACTGTGTGTTTAGAGCATCGCCTCCTCACTGTGAACTAGTATATAGAGGAAAGGAGCTAGGAGCCATTCCCATAGTGAACAACTTGTGCTACATTAATCTCAAATTTCTGACTGCTCCCTCTAAGCAGCACACTATTAATGCACTAAGCATTCCACCTTCTCCTCCTGACCTCACAGCATTCACACATGTCGTACCCAGTCTTGATCTATGACATGCATGTTTAGGGCACATTGGAAGAGAAGCCATCCACCGTCTACCTCTCTTTGCCACTGGTGCAATGATACCTGCTGGTTCCACTCTGTCCAAGTGTGAATCTTGCATTATGGGTAAACACCCATGCTGTCCTCATCCTCCTTCAGAGTCTACTCATGTCACACACTTCCTCAATCCCATTCATGCAGACCTTTGTGGTTCCATCCCCATTATTACTCCTCATAATAAATGGTACTTCATCATCTTCCTAGATGACCACACTAACGTCCTGAACCTTCAACTCCTGGCCACCAAAGATCAAGCTATTAATGCATGGTGCATCGTTAAAGCCCACTGGGAGAACCAATCAGGACTCAGAGTGAAGGTATTCTGTTCTGATAATGGGGGGGAGTTCATGGACATGATGTTTAATGAAGATCTGGAGAAAGCAGGGATCATATGCCAATTTGTCAGCTCCATATGCACACCAGCAAAATGGCAAAGCAGAACAGGTCATACATACAATTGAGGGCTGAATGTATGCAATGCTTGACCATGCCCATCTGCCCTATAATCTGTGGGGTAAAGCTGCTTTATGTGCTGGATACCTCTTCAATCACAGCAAATCACATGCTCTAGAGCCCAGTACTACATCTTTTGAGATGCTGCATGGTAAAAAGCCTGACATTTCACACCTCCAAGTATTTGGTGCATGATGCTTTGTGTGTATTCCTGCCAAGTTGCAGGAGAAACTGGGACCATGATCTTGCAAAGCCCAGTTCATGGGCTATCCTCCAGGTGTGAAGGCTTGGTGCTGTCACAATGCTGTGAGTGGGAGGTTTTTCAACTCACAAGACATTATCTTCAATGAAACATTCTCTTTTCACCCATTCTCTGACAACAGCAACAATGACGATGATGATAATGACACTGCTCCACATCCTCCACATCCAAACATCACTCCTCCAATCCCTCCACCTGCCCCTCCTGCACCAGTTGCTCCTTCTCATTGATCTGGCCAAGTCTAACTGCCTACCAAATGTGGACATCAGTATAGGGAACAGCTCACTGCTGATACAGTGTGCCTAGAATGTCAGTGAGACCTGCAACTAGCTTATACTCAAGGGATTCCTCTTCCTGATGACCCCAATGCCTCTATACCACCTGTTCCCATTGCTCCCCATCCAGCACTTCTTCCTATGTCTTCTCACCCTCTTGCCAATGACAAAAACCCTGATACCAATGCAATTCAGCCTGACTGTGAGACAGTAGGGTTCTCACATATCCTTGCCAACCTCATTGTCACCAAACAAGCCTGCATTTCCATTCACACCAACTCTTGTCATAATCCACAGGTGCCTGGATACAATATGAAGGTTCCGCCCAGCACTTACAATGAGGCTATGCATCACTCTGATTGAGACTGGCTAGCGGCCATGAAGAGAGAAATGAGTCTCATGTCAGAGATGAATGTTTATGAACTTGTTCCCCTCCCCGGCAATTGGAAGGCAATTGGTTCTCAGTGGGTTCTTGAGTTTCAGGAAGACTTAAAGGGTGGTTCAGTCTATAAAGCTTGCCTTGTGGCACAGGGATTCTCCCAGGTACTAGGCATTGACTTCAGCAAAACCTTCGCTCCTGTCGCCAAGGCAGCCTTAATCTGAGTCATTTCAGCACTTGCTGCATGCAACAATTGGGAACTTGACATGTTTGACATGAAACATGCCTTTTTAAAAGCTAACAGAGAATGTGTACATGTACCAGCCTCCTGGGTTCGAATGTTTTGACCCCAGCTTCAGATCCCTTGTTTTCCATCTTCTATCATCCTTTTATGGCCTGAAACAGGCAGCTTACAATTGGTATGAGCTGTTGAGAGAGGTTCTGACTCACCTGGGATTCCTGCATGTAGAGGCTGACTATGTGGTGTTTGTGTATGACCACATCAATGGCAAAGGGAAAAGGGTTATTTGCATCATAGCATGGCATGTTGATGATGGTCTCACAGCTGCCAGTAACCATCCATTCCTGGTCCAGATCAAAAACCAAATTGCTCAAAGGTTCAGCATCTCTGATTTAGGCCTGGTGTCAAAGCATCTCAGCATTCAATTCAAATACAATTGGACAACCTGTGAGCTTTGGATGCATCAAACCAATGTGGGAATCACAAAACAGCTGGCCAAGCTGCTGAGTGGAGAGCAGTATGTTCAGCCCATGGGATTCTGACTTGGCTCAGTGCTCAGAGAGTAGAAATTATCATCAAAAGGGACTGTCATTCAGACTGGTACTGACACTGGTGAAAGAGATACATGCTTAAGTAAGCAGCAAAAATGCAAACATAAGCTAAAGAAAGTGAGGGTAGGTAAAGGTAAGTAAAGTAAGTAAATCTACAGTAAGCAACAAAACTGTTGCAATATTTGTGTGAGATTGATTACTTTGGCTATATCATCACAGGGATGGCAGCTATGAAAATGTGGATAAGAGTAATATTGTAGCCCTATATCCAGGCTACAATAGTTGTACTACATTGCAGATGTGAAAACATTTCCTTAAAATGATATAAGCAATTTACTACATGGTATGCATTGCAATAGTTTTGTTGCTGATATTTTTAAATATCAAAATGCTATCAATAGACATCAGTTATGTTATTTAGTATGTCCTACAATGTCATGTGACATGTAAAAGGGTCACCATGATATAAACAAAGCCAAATGTTGAACTTTCTCAACATTCATCATCATGAAAGCCCTCCCTGCCGACAAAAGCAATCAAATCCTTTTTCACCTTAATTTTAACTAATTTACAAGGGAGATCTCACATGCTACTAGTGTACACCATAGTACCATTATCAGAATTCACTCTAAACCTCATTCTGACCTTCAAAAGTCCCCTGGTGCTTGTCCTTCTGTCCTTTCCTCCCCCAATGTTCAGCATGCTATATGGTTAATCAGTACAGACAAGGCTGGAAATGCCACTTAAGTGATAAGAGCACTTCAGGACATCAAGAACCAGTCTATGTCCTCTCAGACAACACATCATTACTTGAGGAAATCTGGTATGGAGCCTGTAGTGAACAAAAATACCCTCTCCTATCCAAGTGTCATAGGAGAGTAAGACTAGACTTTGCTATCAGTCACCAGCTCTGGACAGTGGATGACTTGAAAAGAGTCATATGGTCATATTAAACCAAAATTAATTATTTGGGGTCAGATGAAAGGAAGTAGGCTTGGAAAAGGACAGGAGAGGGCCTAAATAATAGGCTAGCAGGAGAGAAGAGGGTGTTTTTGTTCACTACAGGCTCCATACCAGATTTCCTCAAGTAATGATGTGTTGTCTGAGAGGACATAGACTGGTTCTTGATGTCCTGAAGTGCTCTTATCACTTAAGTGGCATTTCCAGCCTTGTCTGTACTGATTAACCATATAGCATGCTGAACATTGGGGGAGGAAAGGACAGAAGGACAAGCACCAGGGGACTTTTGAAGGTCAGAATGAGGTTTAGAGTGAATTCTGATAATGGTACTATGGTGTACACTAGTAGCATGTGAGATCTCCCTTGTAAATTAGTTAAAATTAAGGTGAAAAAGGATTTGATTGCTTTTGTCGGCAGGGAGGGCTTTCATGATGATGAATGTTGAGAAAGTTCAACATTTGGCTTTGTTTATATCATGGTGACCCTTTTACATGTCACATGACATTGTAGGACATACTAAATAACATAACTGATGTCTATTGATAGCATTTTGATATTTAAAAATATCAGCAACAAAACTATTGCAATGCATACCATGTAGTAAATTGCTTATATCATTTTAAGGAAATGTTTTCACATCTGCAATGTAGTACAACTATTGTAGCCTGGATATAGGGCTACAATATTACTCTTATCCACATTTTCATAGCTGCCATCCCTGTGATGATATAGCCAAAGTAATCAATCTCACACAAATATTGCAACAGTTTTGTTGCTTACTGTAAGCCTAAGGTAAACTTGACTGTCACACCAACTATATCACATACCTCCTTGAAGAACATGGCATGCTCAACTGCAACTTCATTACCCTTCCTATGGACCCTCACTTCCCTTTCAGCCATGATATCAACATACATCCCCATGTCAAGAACCTCACCACCAAATTTTGTAAGCTGGTAGGTGAATTGTTGTATCTCTCAATGTACACACGTCCCAACATTGCCATCACCATTATGAAACTCACACAGCACAACAGCTGCCCAGAACCTTGTCATTTTGCAGCTGTGAAACATGTCCTTTGCTTTCTTGCTGGCACAATTGGTCTACATATGCACTATGGGGTGCAACTGCTATCCCAGAACTTCACAGTCTTAGTGATTCTGACTGGGCAAGCTGCCCTGAAGACCATATATCCATCGCAGGCTATGTTTGGTTCTTCAATGGGGGCCCCATGTCACACTTGTTGAAGAAGCAACTCACTCACACTTTGTACTCAACCGAAGCTGAGTACATGGCCCTCACCTCATCTATTCAAGATGGTCTCTGGCTCCTCTCATTTTTTGAATGCCTGAAAATCCCTCTCTCCTTGCCTCTTCGAATCTTTGCAGATAATGCCAGAGCCATCACCTTGTCAGAAGAAGCTACAAATCACATTCACACCAAGCATATTGATCTGCATTATTGTTTCATACATATGCATATTGAGGATGGGACTTTCAAACCCAAGTGGCTCTCCACTCACAAGAATGCTGCAGACATATTCACCAAATGTCTTCCTCACCCTCTCTATCTTCATCATCAAGGCAGTCTCTCACTCATATCACAATAGTTGTAACAATGTGTTGAATCGTTGTCATCATCATTGCTCTCAATACATTTCCTTTTATAATTTACTGCATACACTCACATATATAATACACATCATCTTGTTCCTCATACCTCAGTTGTTGTCTCCCAACACTGAGCATGTTCTCTGTGTTAGCTTCTAACAGCTACTACAGAACTTGAAGTTATATCTACTGGATGACTCTGCACAGGCATGAGCATTGATTTCAAAAGTGAGTACAATTGAAAACTCACATTTTCTGTATCTACTGATATTTTCCGCTTTTTTGCCTGACTACCTAGGTTCTCAATTGCAGACCAGACTTTCATGACTGCTTTGGCATTTTGGCATGTTTCTGTATCAGGCAGATGGTAGGTGAAGCAGAGTCTGGAGTGTTTGGAGGCCATTTGGGTACAATGTATGCCTTAAACCTTGCTTGTATCACCATCTCCTCCTTCAATTTCACACAAATGGGAATTCTGGAACAGATGACTTGTCGAGAAGTACATATACTACAACTCTTCCATTTCTGTTTCTTTATATCTTGTCACCACAAACATCCTATACACATTCATTGCTTTCATCACACTTTATCACGTGATGTTTACAGAAACTGCTCGAGGTCTATCTTAAGTACTTTGGTTCCAAACAACAACAAACACGATGCCGATGCTCGCGGCTCTCATACATCGACAAGGGGAGCTCTTGGAGTTGGAGGTATAGCAATTAGCACGCATTGGCACAGCGCCCGAGCCGCCAGAAGCAACGATAGGCGACCGGTGGAAACTTGAATGTTATTGATGTGGGGTTTGTAATATTTTGAGTTCTGCAACAAGCCAATCGAAAAGAAGGTGTAACCCTCGTCGCCAGAGGCATAGAGTGTAGCGCTCCCATTTGAATGCACTTTCTGACTTTAAAAGA